ATGGTAAACCTTTTCCAGAAGGCTTCCAATTTACTTTGCCCAGATCAGAAACTAAGAATTGACTTCTCCTCTTTAGGTATGAAAGTTTTATTTAGTATCTCTTGCAGTCAAAAGCTGTTTCATATACAGTGAAAATCTATTTTTTTATGTAGCCACTTTCATCTATTATTTTAGCTACATCTTTGGGATAACTTGCTGCAGCTTCTACAGCAGGACTTGTTGCTTTACCTTGCACTCTTAATGTTATGGAGATGGCTATTTTCTTTAAACATCATCAACCAACTTCTGCTAGCTTCAAATTTTCATTTACAGCTTCCTTATGTCTCTCAACCTTCACAGAATTAAAGAATTAGGAAGTTGTTCTGGATTAAGCTTGGATTTAAAGAAATAATGTGGCTGGTTTGGTCTATCTGAGACCACTAAAACTTTCTCCGTGTCAGCAATAACGCTGTTTCACTTAATTTTCTTTCTTTCTTTCTTTTTTTTTTTTTTAAGACTGGGTTTCACCATGTTGGTCAGGCTGGTCTTGAACTCCCGACCTCAGGTGATCCACCTGCCTTGGCCTCCAAAGTGCTTGGATTACAGGCGTGAGCCACTGCACCCAGCCTGTTTCACTTAATTTTCTTCAAGAATGTTTCTTTGCATTCACAGCTTGGCTAACTGGTGCAAGAAGCTTAGAGTTTGACCTGTCATGGCTTTTGACATGCCTCGCTCAGTAAGCTTAATTATCTCTGGCTTTGATTAAAAGTGAGAGACATGTGACTCTTCCTTTCACTTGCAAACTTTGTGACCATTACAGAGTTATTGATTGGCTGTTTTCAGTTTGTGTCCCTGGAAATAGGAAGGCTTAAAGATGGGAGAGAGATGGGAGAACACCCAATAGGTGGAGCAGTCAAAAGGCACAAATTCAGTGCTTGCCATTTTATAAGTTGATTGTTCATGGTGTCCCAAAACAATTACAATGGTCACTCAAAGATCACTAATAACATATTATCGAAACAGATACAATAGTAATGAAAATGCTTGCAATGTTGTCAACATTTCCAAAAAGGGATACAAAGTGAACATATGCTATTGGAAAAATGGCACTGATAAACTTGCTCAATGCAGGTTTATTACAAACCTTAAATTTGTGAGGAAAAGAAAGCACTGTATCAACGAACAATAAAGCAAAGTGCCAACAAGGTATTCTTGTATTGCAAATGGTGACAGAAAACCAGGATCTAAAATCATTAATAAGTAAGAAGGAATGTCAGATACCAGCAACAGAATGAACTTTGTTGTACTTCCTTTTTTTTATTAAACACTTTTGTCAGTATCTACTTAGATTATTGTGTGCACATCTACTTCATTATTTTTAATATTTGTAAGCTATTCTACAGTGGGCCTTTATCACATTTCACTTTTGTTCACTTTCTTAGTTACAAACACCTGAGTTGCCTATAACTTCTCACTATCTCTAGCTATCATGAGTGTCCTCTATGAGCCCAGGGAAGAATTTCACTGAGATATGTATACATACACAGACTGCCAGATTACACTCCAAACTGGCAAAACTAATCTACAAACCACACCAGTTAAGAATTCGATATTCCAGGAGCTAAGAATCTAATTGTAGGTTCCTACACTGTTCATATATCATTCTCTCCCCACTAAGGTAACTAAATATCAGTCTGATATTTATATTAGTCATATTCTTGTTTTATATTTAAAAGCATAGTTTTAGTATACAGGCATGCCATTGGTTTAAGTCATTTCAAATTATTTAAAAATTGAATCATACATATAAGCAGTTTTCTGTGAATTGCTTTTTTCATTTTTCACCATGACTATAATACCCATGTTATATGCATGTAGCCATACGTCATTTATTTTCATTGATGAATAATATTTCATTACATAGGTATGCAGCTATCCCATTTTTGGTAAATGGATATTTTGGTTGTTTTCCCTTTGAGGTAATAATGACGAACACTTCTACAAATAATATTACATAGTGTTCATGGTAGAACTATACAAGTCTTTAAGTCTGTACACCTAGAAGTGGAATTGCTCTGACACAGAGCATATGTCTTTTCAAATATACTAAATATTGCCAGACTGTTTTCAACAGTATTGTAGAAAGACACACAGTTGCCAGAAGTATGTAGAGCTGATATTGCTTCATGTTCTTCTAACACTTGGTATTGTCAGTCTTTTTAATTTTTGCCTCTCCGGTAAGTATTTAAGGGTATCTTATTTAATTTATCTCCATTTACTATTGAATTGGGCAGTGTACAGATTAATTTGTATAAAATTTAATATGGGTAGAAATTATAACATGTATATTCCATATATAATTATAAGCACATTTTTGACCCAAAAGAGATACACGATAATTAAAGTTTTGGGGGAAAATAACTTGTTGGGGGGGATATAATACTTTTAATTTTTATTTCACATTTTGCAGTATAATTAAAGTTGGTTTTTCATATCAATGTGGTTACTTTTATTTTAAAAGTATAAATTAAAAATTGAAGTTCAAAATTATTTTCAAACACTTACATTTAAACAAACACATTAGGTTATTAAAGAACATGTAATCTGTCACCAGCCAAGTCTTTCAGTAGATCAATACACCAGGATTTTCATGTTCAATACAGTAGCCAATAGTCACACATGGCTGCTGAACACTGCAAATGTGCCTATGGCCACATGATGAGATAATAATAGTTTTTAAATAGTTTGTTAATTAAAATATGTCATTTAAATTAGTTTAACCTATTTCTTCATATTTTCTATGTAATTTCAAGAAAATATTAAATTGCCTACTTTGCTTACAATATATTTCTACTGGCAGAATTGCACTTGAATCTATTTAGTAAATTGAGAAAGGCATGACTAAGGCAGTTTAAAAAAAAAACTATACAAAAATGTACTTCACTTGAAACAAAACAGAATCTGAACAGTGCTCACAGAAACTGAAATAGGGATTTATGAATTATGTTATAAATGAGGTACGCAACAGTAATTTAGTTGAGTATTTAATATATATTAAATTGATTTACATGCATCTTTTTAAGAATTTGCTTAATTTGTACAATAAACCCACTGTAGTTTCTTTTCTATATTTATTATTGATGCCATTCATTCAGCCTGGAGTGTTCATGTTTTATTACTCTACTTGGTAAACATGCTCCTACTATTTAGAATCAAGGTAAAATATCACATCCTGTAAGAAGTCTCAAAAGCCCCAACACTGGAGAGAGTGTTGTCCTCTTCTTTATATTATACACACTTATTGGAATTTTTACATGTTATGCTTTGCATCATAATTATTTGTTTATATAGCTGTTTCTCAACTGAACTACTCACTGCATTTTTAAATTGATCTTCTTGGCCTCAAAACATAGTAAAGTACATGGTACTTCCAAAAGACTCAATAAATGTTTTTGAATTGATATTTGATGGATCCCTCTTAAGAGCTATGGGTCAACCCCATGCAGTGGCTCATTCCTGTAATCCCAGTACTGTGGGAGGCTGAGGCAGGCAGATCACCTGAGGTCAGGAGTTCGAGACCAGCCTGGTCAACATGGTGAAACCCTGTCTCTACTAAAAACACAAAAAAATTAGCTGAGTGTGGTGGCAGGCACCCTTAATCCCAGCAACTCAGGAGGCTAAGTAGCTACTCTGAGGCAGGATTATTGCTTGAACCTGGGAGGCAGAGGTTGCAGTGAGCCAAGATCATGCCATTGCACTCCAGTCTGGGCAACAAAAGGAAAACTCCACCTCAAAAAAAGTGGTAAAAAATTTCACAAAATTGTGTGTGTCAACAAATTACAGTAGGAATATGAATCTGAGGTTAGCTAAAAATCTCAAAGCCTAACTTTTGCCATGTTCATTTGATCATTATTTAATTCTGCAAAGAATATCTTAATAACATGTTTTCCAAAATTTATAGCAGTCTATATTATTTCTAGTCATACCAACCAAAAATGCAATAGCATGCATACACACAAACACACACACACACACACACACACACACACATATATAATGTGTGCGTGTATATATATATTCAAATCGTGACTATAATTTGAAGTCAGAAACAAGACCATAGTTTTTATCTATTTTTCAAAGCTCAAGGCATGGTGGCTCATACTGTAATCCAAGCACTTTGGGAGGCTGAGGCTGGAGGATCACTTGAGCCCAAGACTTTGAGACTAGCCTAAGAAATATAGTGAAACCCCAACCTTTAAAAAAAAAAAATATATATATATATATATATATATATATTTGTGTGTATGTGTGAAATTAGCTGGGAATGGTGGTGTTCACTTGTAGTTCCAGTTACTCAGAAGGCTGAGATGGGAGAGTCACTTGTGCCCAGGAAGTTGAGGCTGCAGTGAACTGTGATCATGCCACTGCACTCCAGCCTAGGCAACAGAGCAAGAGCCTATCTCAAAAAAAAAAAAAAAAAAAAAAAAGCCCATGTATGTATATATATATATATATATGTAGCCAAATTGTTAAGGAGGAAGATCCAAGCCAGAGAGTGACATTCATTCTTTCAACAAACTTTTCAGGAAAGCAGATAATGGGCCAGGACCTGCATTAGCAGCTTCTCTCCATTAGGCAACACCAAGAAAAAAAAAATGCACAAATAACACAAACAGACCTTTCTCCACCAAACTCTAACCTTCCATTCAGGGAAGCAAGATTCCACATGGTGTATGGGACACATCCCACACTTTTAGCCACTGCTCAGCAAAACATGACTTCAAATGCAGTAACATTTTCTCAGTGATTTAGCCTATAAATAGCACCAGAAGTAAACACTAAACATGCACTATTAAGCATAAATTAACTCTAATGTGATTTGCCTATATGTTTAATGTATATTTAATATAACAATTATCTCAATTTCTTGGAAACTTTGCTCTTGAGGGATCCAATCTCAGAGAAGCTTATTTTCATTGCTGGAAATGCAAAGACAATGTGCTGCAGAAACAATTTATATACCCTAGCTGGCACTGAATTGCAGCTGCACTGGCTGTGCATGATATGGCTGCTGTCAATGAAGGCAGTTGTATGCAGAGCACTGCTGGGCTGCCGGCTGCAGTTACCAAAGGGCACAATGCAGTATTTTGGTGATATCTGAAGATGCAGACAGATGTTGGGAAGACAAAGTGACCACACTGAGCAAAGCACAAGAACAAAGGCAAAGGTAAATATAATTTAAATAATGATAGAAATAAAGAGATTTTTAAAATAGGATAGTAATTCTTGGTAGAAAGAATTGGGGTCTCAAGATTGTTAATGTCCTCTTAATTCTTCCCTCCATGTACTTATTCTCTTCTCCCCTTCTTCCCTCCCTTCATCTCTCTGTTTCAGACACATATGCAAACATATACTCTGAAGGATATCTAGATAAATAGGCGTTGCTATTTCATATCTCTGAAGAGGGCAGTTTTCTGCTTGCAATTTCCATCTTGTTTTACTGTAATATAGCCTGGAATGTTTATATGCAAGAACCTCTCAGAATATTTGCTCTTCTTTTAGACTCTTTAGAGAAAAGTACCATTATATGTTTATATTGTGCATAACAAATCATGCAAATGCCAGAAGACAAAGACACCAGTCTCACTCAAAGAAAATGTATAAGGCTGAAAATTTTAAAAGAAATTCTATAGACAAACTAAACTTTTGCTTCTGCCTTGGGCTTTACAATATACTGATAATGGAATACCATTTGTTCCATGTTGTGTCTGTGAACAGAACTCCAAATTAGAAGTTTTTTTCCATGTCATCTTGGTGGACGGAGACCTAGATATATCTGCTCCAGAATTATCTTTCAGACAGATTATACCATGTGTCCTGGATTCTTTTTTTTACATTCTAAAGAATGAATTTTGGATCAATATCAGTTTAACTAAGTAGAAAAAGTAAGGATTTTAAAAATTATCTCTTATTAGAAGCTAAGAAGAGTGATCCAGTTTACTATCCTCATTATGTAAGAAAGAATATCTTAATAGCTATTACTTTCCTGTTTTAAAGAAACAGATTAAGGAAAAACCTAACACATATGTGTGAAACAATGAATTTCTCATTTGAATGATACATTACTAATTCTAATTTCTTTTGCTTTATAGAAAAGATGAGTTATATCATTTTATTTTCTGGAGGTAGTAACTAACTTACAACTTAAAAAAATTAAAAAATTGCAATATTGCATCCTTGTATTATGATACTCAACTAAAGTACATATTCCCCAGGTTGGAGTTCACATCACTAAATATTGCATTGCTCGGCAATGTCACGTACATAGTAAAAAGTTAGTAGATGTTTGCTAAATGAATAAATGAATGAGGCACTGCATAAAAAGTGTAGGTTTGAATAAGATACTGAAAAATGCACATTGATAGGAGATTTACAAAGGGTGAATAACTGGCTAACAGAAAAGCACATTCACAGAAAAGAAACATCCGATTTACATCAAGAAACTGGGTGCTTCGTGTTTAATATGGTAGTTATAAATCACATGACTCTGAAAAACTATTTATAATAATATTTATTCCCATATTTGTTTTATTTTTATTATTTATTTATTTGCACATGCATTGTCTAACTCCACAGTGAATTTTATTATGAAAAATTATAAATCCAAGGATAGTAAGACTTAAGTGTAGAAATACGTGCCTTAGGTGCTGCATGGTTGAATTCTTACATGGAGTCATATTTTAGCAGATAATGCCAGTAGCATCACTGAATGAAAGGACCTATTTATCACTGAAGCATAGTCCAGTCACACACCAATCCCCACCTCTACAGTCACTTTTATAACAAATTATTCACAAAATGTGCTATTATTTTTATATGATGCAGTATAAGATAAAAAAACAAAATATACACAAAGTGTTTACGTTACCCAGCTTATAATGTAATCAAGACCTCTACTGCTACCTCCTCATAAATGAAAGACCTCTAGTTCATCCTCTGCTACATTGACCAAGCCAGTATTGGAAAGGATATGTGGCAGTAGGCGCTCTTATCCACTAATGTTAGGAATGTAAATTGGCACAAGTACTTTAAGATCAATTCAGTGCTATCTGGTAAAAATGAAGATCTTCATACTCCATAAACCAGAAATTTTCTTTCTGAATAAATACTTTCAAAAGACTGCTACACGTGTGCATAAGAACAATGCTTTACATAATGGAAATAATTTAAATGTCCATTAAAAGGGCAATGGCCAAAAATTATGTTCATTATATTTATGAAATGAAATAGCATGCAGTGGTTTAAAATAAATGTAATTTTATGTATTATGAATTTTTTTAAAAAATAAGTGAATAAAATTTGTTTTAGAATTATAACTAAAATAATATTTATATGACTCAAAATAAAACAAGTAATTATCTTTCACTCCATATATTTGCATATGTATGTATATGTTTGTATATTTATGTTTGTATACATACATTTTGTAGTAAAGCCAAGGAAAGAATAACCATGTGTCTAGTATAGTATTCCTAAAGCCAGTTTATCCAGTCCTTGGTTCTGTCCCAGACCTATAAGATTATATCTTACTCCATTTTCCATTCGCTAGAAAAAAATGGAGTAAGATATAAGATTACTGTATTCTAGAGAATGGAAAATGGACTAAGATATAATCTTGTAGTTTACAGTTTATATATGCAGTTTACAGTAATATAATATAACCTATATTACAATCTTTGTTTTGTTTAGTTTTGTAACAGGCAACATTTCTTTTCTGTCACTATATAGATGTAATTGACATTCTCTCACTTTGTACTGAGAGAAACCATTCTGGTGTGTCTTTCAGACATTAAAATGTAAGTCAAATACTAAGCACTAAACAATGAGTAAAGTTCTGAACATCACAATAATATTGAATGAACAGTCCTTCAGAAATAGCTGTGATAGGTCCTGAAAATAGTTCATGGGCAGAAGGTAATTGTGCAGAGATTATGGTGCAGTTTGTCTCCATTTCCTTTTGGCTGGAAATAAAAAAGTGGGGGGGGATATAAGAGGTTCCTTTTGTTTCAGAAGGAACAGGACCAGAAAGGCAAATCATTCTGAGTAAATGAGCAAGCCCATACAGCAGAGCAGCAGACCAGAGGCTCAGGAGAGAGCAATGACCAATATGCAGTTTCCTGGGAAGAGGCAAAGCTCATTGACCCTATGGATTCTGGTACTTATGTTCAAGTTTCCTGCTTTTTACAGCCATGCTCTCAATGTGATCTGAAGCCTTGAGTTCTGTCTAGTAGACATGTCCACCTCAGGTTGGCTCTATTCTCATGGAACCAAGTGAGGGGGCCAGAAAAACTGCAGCCTGGTGGCAAAGTGAAAGTGATACTTCTTGAAAAGGTCAAGGGCTTCATAGCACAGAGCCAAGGGGATGGTGTGACCTTCTTTAGTAATAAATGGCTGTCCTGGTTCTTCTGGGAGGGTAGCAGGTGTTAGGAGGAGAGCATTGCGTACTGTGAAGGTGAAGTTGAATGGCAACAGCAATAGCAGAAGGAGAGAGACCAGCTTGTGGAGCAGCATCTCCTGGCTGCATGACCACACAGTTTTAGGACACTTGAAACATGTGAGAATCCTATTAAACAGAGTTTGTGAGCCTCTCATTGAGAAAAGCTGAGAAAAAGAAAGGAATGAAGGAAAGGGAGATCTCAGCTTGACAAACACCAAGACTTCAAAAAGTAAAAATATCTAATTTTTATATAAGGTGCAAGAAAGGGATCCAGTTTCAGCTTTCTGCATATGGCTAGCCAGTTTTCCCAACACCATTTATTAAACAGGGAATCCTTTCCCCACTGCTTGTTTTTGTCAGGTTTGTCAGAGATCAGATGGTTGTAGATACGTAGTGTTATTTCTGAGTCCTCTGTTCTGTTCCATTGGTCTATATGTCTGTTTTGGTACCACTACCATGCTGTTTTGATTACTCTAGCCTTGTAGTATCGTTTGAAGTCAGGTAGCATGACACCTCCAGCTTTGTTTTTTGTTTTTTGCTTAGGATGGTTTTGGCTATGTGGGCTCTTTTGCGGTTCCATATGAAATCTAAGATGATTTTTTCTAATTCTGTGAAGAAAGTCAGCTGTAGCTTTGGGGAGATGGAGGGCTGAGGGAGAGATAGGAGGGATTGCGGGGATAGGTGAGGGATAGCATTCGGAGAAATAACTAATGTAGATGATGGGGTGATGGAGGCAGCAAACCACCATGGCACATGTATGCCTATGCAACAAACCTGCATGTTCTGCACATGTACCCCAGAACTTAAAGCATAATAATAATAAAAACAATAAAAATTTTAAAAATACCAAAACACTTGGTACTGTCTTTGGGAAGATAGGGAGAGTGCACAGGGGAAGCAAGGGGCATTGCCTATACCTCACCAGTAGCCTTACCAGGTTCGATGATCTGAAAGCCCTCAGTGCAGATTAAATTTTAAAAGATCTTATCAGTCACATCCCCTTATCATCACATGCCCATGTCATAAATAGTTATCCCGGTGGAGTTCACAAACATGTTTAATTCACTTAGGTTTTTATTTTTATTCCAAAATCTGTGCTGTGTAGAGCAGTCAAAATTAACTGGTGAATTATGATCACAATTCAAAATATCTAGTTTGATAGTGTTAATAACTTAATTTTCTGGATGAAAGTTTTTCTAAATGCCCATGACAAACATTAAAAAACCTAGGAAACAGGGCCGGGCGCGGTGGCTCAAGCCTGTAATCCCAGCACTTTGGGAGGCCGAGGCGGGTGGATCACGAGGTCAAGAGATCGAGACCATCCTGGTCAACACGGTGAAACCTCGTCTCTACTAAAACTACAAAAAATCAGCTGGACATGGCAGTGCATGCCTGTAATCCCAGCTACTCAGGAGGCTGAGGCAGGAGAATTGCCTGAACCCAGGAGGCGGAG